CTAGGTATCACTAAATAGTCATAAAAGGAATATAATATCGGCATAGCAAATATTACAATTTACACAACAAACAGACACAGTGACAGTGTCAGTCACAGTCAGTGACGAGATAAGTGACGCCGCCTTTCAACTCAAGGAGTGAGTTATTTGTAGACAGTACGCAGTACTCACAGTAGAGTACAGTCACTCATCCGTCATTATCGCCAGTAATCAATTAGAAATTAATACTTGAACTTACATTTTCTGGTTAAGAACGTGCTGGCTCTGCGGTTGGAAATCGCTAACAATAAGACCTAGTTGACGCACATTTTCAATGAAAAGCTCTAAATTTTGCTCCAGCGCCTCAAACTTGTCAGCCATGTTATCTTTCGCGCAGCACTCTGGGATAACTGATAATATGCGACGTCATTACGTTCCGTAACCAACCGAAGATTGCCGATCCTAGCCGATTGAGCACGTGAAAATCATGTGCATCCCAGCTGACCAAACCAAATAAACATTCGCTGTTTCACCGTGGAGATCGCGAATACGCGTCAAGACTCAAGAGACGACAAGGCGAGGGTGTCCTGGCAACTACATTTATGAGTACGAGAGTAAGTGAGTGATGATGGATAACGTTATTACGTTTTGTGCTTTAATGCGAATGCTGTAGGTGCATTATTGATAATAGTTAATACTATGAATCGATCGAGTCTTGTCGCGAAATATGTTATTACTCTCTATAGTTAGTAGTAGTACTAGTAAGTAGGGGCCTACTATAACCCGCGTACAGTTGCCGCAGGCAGCCACCGTCCTGGACATCATCTCTATCCTTGAACCCAGGCGCCTGGCAACTGTACGCGGGCTCACAGGCACTTGTATCTTGTATCTTGGGGTCCCTCTCTTGTATTTCACAAGGCACTGATTCTCTCTTTGGAATGTGCAGGGAAATCCTGTAGATAAGGAAATTCTGTCTACAAGTTAGCATTAATTATTTTACTTTCTCTAATTGATAATGCCTTTCTAACATATTCTAGTGCTGGTTTTAGTGGAGGCACTTGGAACGTCTCAATAAAAATAAAAACAGGTAAATAAACACGAAATGTACGTATTAATTTACTACCAAAGTCTTAATGTTTCTCTACTCTATATCACCTGTAAATGCCGGTCAAATGCCCATCTGCAACACACAAGTACACCGCACGCTAGCTGCTGGACACTAGCTGACACATAAATAATTTAAATATATATAACATAACATCAGGAGCTAATAATGTCATTATTAACTCCTGATAACATGTCAGTGTGCAGCAGCTAGCGTACGGCGGCCAGCGTGTGACGGTGTGTTGCAGATGAGCATTTGGGCGGCATTTACAGGAAAATTTTGTCGGCAATAATAGGTGAAAGAGAGTGCAGAAACATTAAGACTTTGGTAGTAAATAGATTTCGTATTTATTTAGCATTATATTTTATTGAAACGCTCCAAGTGCCGGTGTTTACATGTATGTATGTAAGCGGTGCCCGTGTACGGAAAGAAGTGTAAGAAATTGTTGACGTAAGCAACACATTTGCGTTTAAATCATACAACTTGTGTGTGAGCATGTGTGCAGGTGTGCGCACGTACGTACGTACGTGTGTGTGTGTGTGTGTGTGTGTGTGTGTGTGTGTGTGTG